CATGAGTTTTACACCCCTGATGTAGACCTATCAGAGCAAAAATGTACATGAATCAACATTGATTCCTTAACTTTCATTCAATGTAAAGTCAACCCAAATGTGCCTGTAGATCCACATTCAGATGATGGTTGAAACGTTCATTCAACATGTAAGTAATTTCAATGCCAGGGTTCAACGTGGATTCACTGTTTCTGCCTAACATTACTTAGGCAGAACAATGCCAAAGTAACTGTTCTTAGGCACAGTTGCTTAGGGTTTGGCCCTACATTAGTAGGCTGATATAGCTAATATAGACACTTAAAACCTTTGTTGCCTTCATTATAAGCCTTATATAGGCTTTAAAATTTTTGCGGCTCCAGATAGATTTGTTTATTGTTTTTTTTTTTTTTTGGTCCAAAATGGCTCTTTCAACATTTGAGCTTGCTGACACTTGGGATAAGGTTAGCAAATCATATTTGCTGCTGTATTAGACAGAAATCTCTTTAAACTGAACTTCATACATTGATAAGTGGGAATAATAGTTTACATTCAGAAAGTATAGTATAGTTTTATTATTTATCTATCTATCTATCCATGATCTTCCCACCAGAAGGATGGAAGGATCCAGCATCCTGTTGAAGAAACTCTCAGCACCGAATCCCATTTAGAAACCGTTTTATTTTACTGTGGTTCGTTTATAAGTTACCAGAACCGCCACATATATCAGGTCCACATGCATGATGCTTCTGGTTCGGTTCGGCGACAAATTTATCTTACTCGGTCCACCAGAGACCAGAAACTTTCAGAATATCGGTCCCAGCAACCGTAGTAGCACGTCAATACGACCACCTTATTTTAGAGGATTTTCTAAGGGAGTTCGGAATGGGTGAAACTGTAAAGGTAGCCGTCTGACCAGTATCGGAACCAGAAATAACAGGAGCAAAATACAGGAGTCGCTCTCACCTCTTGAGTTGGGCTCTAGTTCGGGTCCAGTTCTCCAGGGAATATCTGCAGCTCCACAACTATCCAACGCATGTGCAAGAGGCTCACCGGAACAACCTGCTTCCTTGTTTTTTTCCCTCTTCACCGTCACGTGACTGTTACAGCCAATAGGAAGCTGAAACTACCGTCACGTGGACTTTGATGCGGACGTGTTTTCCCGATTCTGGTCGGGTTCTTTAGAGACCATTTGATCGGTAAAATGATCCACAAGACATCGATAAGCGAGAGGTGACAGCTGGACCGAGCCGAGACGGGCCGAGCCGGGCTGGTTCGTCATGTCCGGACAAAGGGGCGGAAAATCCCTGATCATCACTGACGGTGAGTCCTGCGGTTCGGTCCGGAATAGTCCGACTGCCTGGTTCTGGTTCTGATCAAAACCAGATCTGATCTGTGTTTGGATCAGAACCGATTTGGTTTCAGCTTTTCCTCTCTGCAGATGAGGAAGAGGAGGTCCAGGATGGGCTGAACCCGTTCTCCTTCAAAGAGTTTCTGCGCTGGAAGAACCAGGACCAGAACCAGGACCAAGAGCAGCACCAGGACCAGAACCAGACACACAGAAAGGTATGGACCAGCAGAACCTGGACCTGATGATGGAAATGTTCTATCAGCTTTACTATAATAATAATAATAATAATAATAATAATAATAATAATAATAATAATTATTATTATTATTATTATTATTGGGGCCTGCCCATATTCAGTGCATAGGGAGAGCAGTGACTGACATGCGAAGCCGATGTGTTGCGACAGGACAAACTGACCCTCTGACCCATGTTTTTCCATATATTTCTGAAAATAGACCTCAGCGCACATCATCTTTCTCTCATCGCTGTTAATACTGTGAGTGAGGTAGAGATATGAATCGCGGGAATATCGGAGACGACAAATAGCCCTCTCATTCGCTTCAAACGGTTTTCGAATACGTGTCACGGTTCCTGAATGGGAAGGAGTTGTTCGAAGTGTTTTTTTTTGTGAGAAACAGGCTGGGTTAACAGGGGATTAATTACCATGGCAACAGAACACAGAGCAGAGGAGCCGCTTAGGACTACAAACCAGCAGCCATAACTGTAGTTCTATCTACGGCCAAGACTCAGTTAAAAGAGGCCTGAGCAGCATGTCAGAACTACAACATGGCGGAACTGTCTGTTACTATAGAGGAGGAGTTGGCTGGTATTCTGAACTACTTGTGCTTTGAGCATCATATAACTGATTTAACCCGATCACTATTACACATGGATTTAGTGTGGCCATTTCAAATTAAGCTTACT